ATTTTTATTATAACAAATGCTGCTTCAGTGAACATTCTTGAATAAATCTCTTCATACCCTTGTGGGAGTGATAGTTACTAGGACTTATAGTAACCATGTGTTGGGTCAAAGGACAAGAACATTAAAAATTTTTATAGATATTGTTAAGTGGCCCTTCAAAAGGCTAAACAAATTTATACTCCCATTAACAGATATGAAAGTTTCTCCACGCTTGGCCAACACTTTAGCCATAAGTTTTTGATAAAAAGTTATCAGCCATAAGTGGCTTTCAATGTGTCAATGTGTCTATATCTAGTAGTGTCTGATTTCTTCCCTCCTCATTTGCTATTCCCAATATACGGACTGGAAAAACCCGACAACCAAGTTTGTTAGAATGATATCAAGAAGTAAAATTAGATGAACTAGGATTGGAGGGAATTGAGGATTTAAAAAAAGTCGTGCTTACATTCATTCCCTTAATTAGTACTCCTATGTTTCCACAGCACCCTGTGAATAATCTCCTTTCTTTCTTTCTTCCTTTCCATTAGTCATCTTTCCTGTGGCCTTCCATTACACCTCAAGTTCAGATTTTTTATCTTGGCATACAAGGTTCTACATGATCTAGTCCCTCCTTACTGGTTTGATCTCTTCACCCAGCAACTCCTCTCCAACTCATTACTTGATTCTAGTTCCCCATTTAGAGTCTTCCATCCTTCATTTCTCAGGTTTACCAAGCTTGTTTTTTTAGGGAGACAATTTGTAGCTTTAATCATATTCTCAAAGGGAGTTCTCTAACCCAGGTGTAAATTAAGACTCATTGGTTGATTTAAAATACCACGTGATGAATATTATGAGAATGAAGTGTCATGAGTTTGGACACTACACTTTAGAAAATGGATTTTGATACAACTGATTTGGCTCTTCATAGGCCTTAAAAAATTTGTTTTTTCTTGGCTTTGTTATGGATGGATAACTGATCACTGCATATTGGATTATTTCCTTCATTTTATTTTCCTTTTAGTTGGCCATGTCACAATTCATTACAGCTCTTGGGATTGAACTGTCTCAAGTTCAAAACCAATGTATTAGAGCAGTGTTAGGCAAATGAAGAGCAAAATATCAGCAATATAGGTAGTATATCTTACTGTCCATAAGACATGGGCTCTGAGTCACACCTCTGGGTTCCAGTTCCACTCTGCCATCTCTGCCATTAACTAGGTGTATGACCCTGGACAAGTGTCTGTGCCTACATTTCCAAATCTATAAAGAAGTAAGGCTGGGCGCGGTGGCTCATGCCTGTAATCCTAGCACTCTGGGAGGCC